GCAAACTCAGAAAGTGTATGTTAGGTTGAGTGGACAATGAGGTGTCTGAATGAAAGATCTCAGAGTGTTGTAATCGGTGGCAAAGTCTAGCTGGTGGCCTGTGGTTAACAGTGTCTCCCAGGAGTGAACAGGGGGCCCAGTCTTGTTCTTTTCATTCATCAGTGACGGATGAAGGGGCAGAGTCAGCTCAGCAAGTTTGCTGATGATACAAAACTGGGTGGAGTGGCTGGAGCACCAGAGGTGTGTGCTGCCATTCAGAAAGACTTGGACAGGTTGTTAAGTTGGGCAGAGAGGAACCTCATGAGGCTCAAAAAGGCAAGAGCAGGGTCCTGCACCTAGGGAAAAATAACCCCATGCACCAGTACAGGCTGAGGGTGAGCAATTGAAGAGCAGCTCTGTGGAGAAGGAACTGTGTGTCCTGGGGGACAATGGGTTGAATATGAGCTGGCAGCATGTCCTTGAAGACATACTTGGGGATCTGTAGGATCTGTATTTTAGATGCGGGAGGTGTATTTCAGATGTGGGAGGAAATTTATAGTATGTTTGTGTCCTCTCTTTAACTAAACAGTAGATCTGTTTTTGCCCAATTAGCTATAGATGTGTTTGCATTGTTAGTGGGTACATCCTAATCAGGTAAATACTTTCATTACCTAGGCATTTAAAAAAACAAAAGATTAAATAATCATCATCCATCCTCTTTAAGGAATTAAAATATTTACGAATTTTGAATATTATCAAAAGGAGAAATGTTAAAGGATGGGGCCCCTGTAGCCAAATGAAAAAACAGATGGGAAATTATATTTGCTTTATGAGAGACTGAAAAATATCTGCAAAATTATCAGCTAAATGACTTGTTTTACATCTCTACACAGACAAATGTATCTAATGTCTTCTCTCTTTAAAAACAAATAATCTTTTACAGTCTCAAATATGTTTCTTTTTAAAGTAAACCTGTGAGAAACATTCTGGCATAATCTGGTGAAGTAGAGAAGACTTTTGTAAATTTTCATATTAAGATGAGGTCAAATATAACCATGACCTTAAATTAGATTAAATATATATTTATAGTTATATTTACCAGATAGATGTCTCTCAAGTGGACAGGCTAACCATGTTATTTTACAAAGAATATCTCAAACAGCAGCTGACTATATGTTTCTCCTACAATAATTCTTCCAGGGTTAATATCACATAGTGAAAACAGAGTCTTCTCTCTTGAATAATGTTTTGTGGCCATAATATAGGAATATACTCAGTGTCAGAGTATGGAAAGTGTTATTAASATTAAAAATCCCACTGGCATCAATTCAGTTATGGGTCTGTAACAGGAAAGAAATGTTATTCTTCCCTGCTCTTTAGAGAAACGCCTGGAAAAATATCATAAATTGGCATGAAGGTTCACAAGCTTATAGTGAACTAAGATACAGTGCTTAACTGGACTAGAACCAGAGTTTTTCAGTGCCTCGTAAAGCTCTGCACGGTAAAGCATCAGATTGTGATCACAGCACTCTAACATCTGATTTGTATATTCTTAAGGTCACTGATATAAATTAATTTAGATCCCTGTGTGAAAGGACATTACTACAGCTTTCAAAGGTGCAGGGAATTTGATTCAAATGTATTCTTAATGGAAATGAAAGGAAGGAATTGAGAAGTCTGGAAGATGGTCAGTTGGATCTAGAACTTTTTACTGGTTKCATTGGAAATTTTTAGTTGTCCCGTGACCCGTAATTCTTATACCTGATGGGCTGTCTTTAATTTTATCTACCATACGAATGGGGTAGTCCAAATCCCTACGTCATTCAAAATGGAGGGCAGACTGTTACATCCTTTCATTCCAGTGCACCTGACTTTTTATCCAAGGAAAACTAGAGCTGGAAAGATTCAAAGAAAGAGTTCAATGCCATGTAATCAGGATTCAACTGCTGGACTGCTAGCTGCTAATTGCTTAAAGCTAACTGCTTTAAGATTAGAGATTTGGGAAATACTTGGAAATCCAACAATACAGATTTTGTTTAGATGATGCTTAATAAGCTATATACCATGAAATCTGTTCATTAACTGCCATGTTTTCCTTTACATATACATATATATTAAAAGTATAAGATTAGTTTATTGTAGCAATAATGTTTCTTTCTCTGAACCTATTTTTCTATGATGACTGCTTTCAATAATTTTTGACAAAATTTCTTGATGACAAAAAGTTATTTGTGTTGTGATAAACCACTTGTGTGGTTCTTTATCCTCTTCCTCAAATCAATTCCTTTATACAATTTATTCCTTTACTTCTTTTATACAGTTCCTTTGCAGAAATAATAAGGAAGTCCTAATGAAAATCAGCAAATTCTAACTAATAATAAAATTAGTAATGCAATTGGAACTTTCTGAGATATGTCTTGGATATATTACTGGATAAACATTTGAGAGCTGAAATGACTCTTACTCCCTAGATGTTCYGATATCTTCAGGATTTTGAATACCATACATTTTTGAAATTAATTCCATTCTTGATTATATTACGTTTGTATGAAAATTAAAATTTTATTTTCCTGGCCCTCAATGGGCTTCTTTTGCAGAATTTCAAATGGCAAATTAATTTAAGTGGTCAATGTTTAGCCAGGGTTTCAGAYAGACTCAATTTTATACTGCAGTGCTAGTTCAAAAAATGATCCTGTTTTCAATTTTAGGCTATCAAGTGCAAAACAATATCGTTTTCATTTTTTAAATCTATATGTATCATAATTTAGATCTAGATAGATCTAAATCTATCATAATTTCATTATTTAGATCTAGATAGATCTAAATCTATCATAATTTCATTTAGATTACCCATCTTTAACGTTGTTAAGAACTGTGATCATAGTTCTTGACTCTTGCTGAGCAGTTAAATTAATATGTTTGAACGTAAACCTGCACTTTCTCTGTTACTTTTGTTACTACTTTAGTTAATACTGCATGTCAAAGTATCAGACTTCCTGCATAAAAAGCAAAATGAAAAATCTGAATTTGGAATTTTGAAAGTAATATAATAACAATAAAGAGATATTTTGGATTTTACTACTTAACAGAACTGTGTCTGCCCACGTCTACCTCTGGATGTTATTATACCCTTAATAAAAATACTCCCTTTAAAGGTGCAGGAGTGCTACCCCTTTCAGGGGAAGGTTAGTACCAAGTGGTGAGTTAGAACAGTCCCAGACAGTGTGAATGTCATAACAGAAGAAGGGCCAAAGAGAACTTCAAAGAGAAAAAGGCCCCTCAGACTCCTGCTTTGTACATGTCAGCATATTCCCCAGTTAAAATAATGTGGTTCTGAGGGGATTCAGTTTTGTTTGAGTAATAAGTATATATGAAGGTTAATCTTCTCTCTCTTGGTTTGAATTTTAGCTCATTTACGAGTAATTATTTATAAGTAGTAAATAATTTATGCATATAAAACAAAATCAAGATTTATCTAAAGTGTTATACGTTTGCCAATCAAGATTAAACTGAAGTGATTTTTTTGTTATAAAACACCTTTTTTTGTGCAAATTTCCAAAWAATAATAAATTTTGATTTGTCCTGTTTCTAAGCATTTTTAGGCTAATGATATACTGTGGTAGTATTGACCCCATTTTAAAAGTAATTATGAAACAAAAGACTGGATAACAGCCTAAAGAATTTCTGTGGATATTCTGAGGGAAAAATAAGATATAATCTAAGGATGTTGTTTGGAGAATGTCAGTGACATTTAATCAAGACAATTTAGAGAGAAGTGTTATGTATCTTTGAGTTACAAGCAATGTTTCATTAACTGTGGAAATTAATTGTGGAAAGTAAATATTCTCTGCCAATAAAATTGCAAATATGTACATTACTGAAAAAAAAAGATCAACAATTCCTATGCAATATTGCAATATTTTTGTCCTTATTTATACATCATTTATTTGATGTTTTATGCAGTGTTCCAGAATGATCTGGAAGATTTAATTACATGTATAATTGAGGAAGATAGGATATAAATAGTTCTTTAAAAACTGCCAAAGACATAACTTTAATATTTTAACATTTAATAACTTTAAGTGCATCAGCAATATTATATATTTTTAAATTTATTTATTTTTAAGCATGTTTTGAGGAGGCTTTTTCTAGAAACAGTTTTATAAAATAGTTAAATTAAGAAAAAAATTGAGTAAATGTGTCCCTAATCACCTGCTAAGGTTTTGACAATTTAGCATTAGTCAGAAGAAAAGAGGTTTATTCTGTTATCCACATAGTATTTCACAAATACTAGCCTCTCACATTCCTCGTCAATAGACAATAATGAGAAAGTAAGTATATTCAATAGTGCTAACTTTAGTGAATATTCAGCCAGAAATACATACTAAAATATATATATAAATATATAAATCTTTATATAAAATAAAAAATATTTTTCTTTAAAAAATTGCAGAACATATCTATAATCTGCTTGATTATTTTCATAGCAGTGGGATTCCTACATGGGTACATAATTAATTCAGATGGACATTATAATTAATTATGATTAATGTTATTATAATAAGTACCACAGGACSTAATCATATTATGTCACTTCTTATGATAATACCTTGCCATCATTTTGTATCACAGTGATGTTTCAGTAGATTTGCATGACTGTAAGGCCAACCATACTAATATTATAGTTTCCTGTGATTAATGTGAACACCAGAGAAAGCTGATGGCAATTAGTTGTTCATAAAGTGTCATTAAATACAATATTTAAGTTCATTTAAGCTCAGTATTAAGTGTATTTTAAATTTGAAGCATAGTAAAWGACTTCTATCAATCAATATAAAGTATTTAATGGGATGTGGAAGTCTGCTGTATGCTAAAAAGTTTTTTTGTGATTGCTGTCTCCGTAGATCTTGGTGGAGGGTACCATAGGAGATGGTTTCACTGGAGACATAGGAATTGATGACTTGTCCTTCCTATCGTGTAGCCTTTACAACGGTGAGTGAGAAGAAAATAAAGTTGGGTATATATCTCTTAGCAGTGAGCTCATTCTTCACTATCATTTGTGCATAGAAAAACAAAAACTGGAAAAACAAACCAGATCAAACTGTGAATCTTGTCAAACAGTGAAATCAGAACTTGTTTTCTGAATTCCCAGACCCCCTTATTCACTCTCTTCCTTGCATGCTCTGGAAAGGCAACGGCATAAAGCAGTTTCTGTTGTGCATGTAAGATCCAAAAGAAACATCAGTAATTTGAGATCTCTTTGGGATCTCAGTGACTGATGATGTTTTTTTCCTTTTTTTTTTTTTTTTTTTTTTTAAGAAAATCAGTTTGAAAGAGCCTTCCTCCTCTCCCCCAGTATTTCTAAATGTTTTTGCAGTGACAATTGCTCTCACATATCAGTACACAAACAATTCAAATGATAGAGCAACGTATCCTCTGAAGTCATTACTACCTAATATGGTAAAATGCCTAAAGAACTGTAAAATACTATGCTCACAAACAAGTGTGCTCCAAGACACCAAATGATTCAGAACCTGTCATGTTTCATCATGGAAGTGATTTTAAGAGGACTATTGTTAGCTGCAGCAGACATAATGTTATATATGGTTGGACAGATTATGTACAGTCCTATGAGAGCTGCAGAAGAGCAAGCATAATTTAAAACAAAATTTTACTTTCTGGAAATAAGTATCTCAGCATTAGATCGAAAACATCCTAGTGAACATACATTTTGTTTCTGCTATTCCAAAAACTTCCCACAGATTGAACCAGTTCTATTAGGAAAATCAAATGCATGTGGCATGTTTCTTTTGTAGATAATTTTTATCCTATTTTGGCAAGTTTACATATTATATAGCATTATTTACAGCTTTTCGAATATAAACTCTAGCTCAAAACAAATTTGGTGAATGCAGTTAGTGTAAAATGTTGGTAGTGGAGGCATAAAATCTTAGAAGGATAACTTAAAATCCTTCCTCCTCCTAAGACAAGAACTAAAAAAAAATGCAAAGCACAGAATGTCAAAGTTCATAAGTAAGAAAAGAGAAGGTTATTTTTGTTAAAGATGAAAGTCTTCAAGGTTAAAGATAGATAAACTGAATAGGAAATATATTTTTTGTGTTCTGTATATTTTTTTTAAGTCTTTTAGTATTAAGAGTAATTTATAAAACATTTCAAGCTCCTACTGCCTCTATTTTACTACCTCTGCTTCCTCCACAAAATAAAAATCCCAACCAATGATAAAAGAGTTAAGGAGTCTGTGGGAATAGCCTGCAAAACAGATGACAGGAATAGTGTATTCTACTGGATTTAGGATGAGCTGGATCATGAACATGAAGGTGGCCTCTTATGTCTCATCTCTGCAACCTAGAATTAAGCACTGCTTGACTAGCTAGAATTGTTCCACTTTGAATAATAGATACTGAACAAGAAGAGATTGGCTGGATCACATGGTAGTAAAGTCACATATATCTAATTTTAAAGATGTAGAAACTTGTGCGTCTTTTTTTTTCAGTATATCACATGAATGCCCTAACTACAGGCTATACAATGGTGCTTGCTCTGGCCAAAGTGCCTTSTTGTAAGTTGGACAAAATGGGTTATTTCCAGAGGGGAAAAAAAAGGAGTTGATTCTGTCCATAGTACTTACAGCACTTCAGAATTTTATCTCCTGGAGAATATATAGCCTGTGCTGTGAAACCACTCTGGAAATTTCTTTTCTCCCAGTGTTTCCTTCCCCAATTTATACCCATCCTGGATCTAGGAACGTTTCACTAAAAATGGTCAGAGGARGAATCAATAAATCTAAATTTTTGAATGATAAATACTGTATTTAAAAACTTATAAACAATAATGTCACTGCAATTACTATAAGTTTTATATACATTTATTATATAATTATTCTTTCAGAAAATACCTCCTCCTAGATCTTTTGTTTGACTCTTAGGATATTATTAGTGTATCATTTGTTTTATATAAAATGGCTGTTACCTTCCAAGACAGAGATATGGTCCTGGTACCGGRGAATTTGCAATCAGTCTTAGTGCTCCAGGTCTTAATATAAAAATTCCTCACTGATTCCACACTGGTCCAGACACATTTTATATCAAATGCTATGCATACTCTTTTTAATTAACTCAGGTACATTACTTAGGTGTATTGCAGAGCTAATCATTTCATTAGAGATTAAATTTTAAAAGGGGCTTGTATAATAAAAAGACCTTTTATGAACAGTGATAGCAAGGTTTTTCAAGGAATCAGGGCTAGCCTGCAGAAAGATGCACAGGAAAAAAGGAGAAAAAGGTAATAGATTAGAAAAAGAGATGTGACGATCTTAAATGAAACAGAAAGAATGTGGTAGAACAAGATAATGACCTCTTTTTAATAAAAGAAAAAATCAGCAATGAAATGAGACTATAAAAATGATGCATAGTAATTTCTAGTCAGTTGCAGTAACCAATGTCTTGAAATAATTTAACTGAGCCTCTTGCAAATTGTCTAGTCATTCTAGTCATTTCATAAAGCTAACAAAAAAGAAACTGGTAAAACAATAAAAAATCCCTGTGAAGATCAGCTATCATTATTTATATGATAATGGATTTTTTCAAGTGTTGCGAAAATGATGGTAGACTAGCATGTTCAAACTGGTACCTTCCACTTGGGAAACTCAGTTACGCCGAGTTCAAATCAGTTCTTTCTGGTGACATTCAAGACATTCTACTTGACCTTGCAGCCATATTTCCAGTAAAACTAGGCACAGAAACTGGCTTGGAGACAAACTCTTAGAAAACTAGGCTCATATAATTCTGTAGGTCACTGTTTATTTTCTGTTTTTAAGGAAACTTGCCACCAATCTCTACAACTCCAGCCGGAACTTCAGTTCCTGTCACACTCCCTGTGAACAACTGCACAGAGGAGGAGTTTGTCTGTAGAGGCTCTGGCAATTGTATCCACATGACCAAGAAGTGTGACTTCAGGCCTGACTGCTCTGATAAGTCCGATGAAGCGTCTTGTGGTGAGTGAACTGAATCTCTTATATCTTATTTGTGGATATGAAACATACTGCACTAACTATATTTTCACTTCTCATTTGGTATTAGCACCGAGGTGTTGTTTTTAATATGATTTTGCTCCCCTGGAAGTAGCATTCTGTTTATAGTAGGGGAATCTGAGATGTTCTTCATTTTCTGCCTTCAAATGACAGACCTCATTTTATATTCCATTTCACCTTAACTCCTGCAATAGAAAAAAATCTTTCATCTCTCAGTGATTGGTAGCTATACCTAACAATTTATAAAAGTAAACATAGTTTCTCAAGTTAAAAAACACATTTACATTTTTCAGRTGTTCATTAGTCCCAAATGGAAATGAGAATAACTGTAGTCATGGTGGGGCACTTAGGTTCATTTCCTACTGCAATGAGGTACTGAGAGTATTTTTTATAGAAGGGAATCATGAAAATCAGCTACAGACATAACGATGCTTTTGTCGTCATCTTTTTGTTCCTTTGACAGGACTGATTTTGCTTTGAGGACTATGTTTAACTATCTATAGAGGATCCTAGGGTTAGGTTTCTAGTTTCCTGAGAGAAAATCCCAGTTGTCTCCCTATGGCAAAAGCATGCAGCATGGCATGTGCTACAAGCAATTTAGTGAGTTCCAGCCTATAAATTGCTAAGAAATCTGAAAATTAAATAAGAAAGTTGGAATTAGGCCACATTTTGAAGATATCTAAGAGATTTCTTAATTGCTTCTAAGTCACCGAATTTCACACTACAACTTTTAAGCTGAAGAGCTGAAGCAGTTACTGACCTTTTTTTTTGCCTGAAAACACAATGCTTGAAATTACTGCTGTTCAGAAGCTGATTAATGAGGGGACAGACATTTGTCAATGCAGTGCAAGCTAAACCACTCTCACTATGACCAAAACTCTACATTGATTATACATTGTGAAGGGAACACCAATTTCTCTCCAGGCTGAGGACTCGACCAGGCAGCAGGGAGTCTAATGTTACTTTTCTTATTTCTTTCATGGRAAGAAATATGGAAGAAATGAGGCTGATTTATAAATATTAATGGATAGTTCCCTGTAGTGTGAATAAATACCAGCCATTGAAAACCTATATTGAACAATAAACGGAGAGTCCTTTCGRGAGAATATTTTTTCTCCTCAGAAATCGTCAATGTCTTATAAAGCATCCTTTCCTTCTGAAACTACCATGGAGAATACACCTTTAGGTACTCGGTCTGTCTGGAGTCTACAATCACTACAGCAATGATGGCAATTTATCACTAGAATGACAGTACTTGGATAAGAGCTTAGTRTGTTCCTATTGAGAACAGAAATACGTTCTCAGGAGGTGGTTATCCTTTCTCAGTGACATTTAAAATGTTATTTATAAAACAAGTATAAAAAAAAAAGGTAAAAACACTTAATACTATGTCAGCCATTAATGTCAGAAAGCGTCACAAATCTTTGTGTGGATAACTAGTCTGATCACACTGGTTGAGGTTTGCTTCTTTACTAAGAATTTAAAAGCTATAAATCAAAACTGCTTTGACATCCCCTCCTTCCTTAATCTCCCATCTGTGGCCTCCAGGAGAAGAAATACAGGCCATATTCTACTAACACAGTATAATTTACTCATGCAGAAATTACCTATGCTGTGCTAGCTTTTGAGATTCATGGTTTAGAAATAGACTTGTTTGTCTGCATCATTCTCACAGCAGTCACTTTGACTTCTATATAAAAATGCATTCTAATGTTCTAGAAAGTGACAGGAGTCATTCTGGATCACAGAGGCCAAGTCAGAGTTTCTGTGAAGGAGTCAAGAAAGCATTCTTGAGAATAAATATTTATTAGGCAGCAGAAATACYTATTTTTTAATATCCTTGCAGAGAACATACATTGCAAAGGAGAGAAATTAGTAAGCTCATTTTTATCGTCCAGTTACTCAGTAAGCAAAATCTGAGGCATAGSGTACTGTTTATTTATTAATAATTCACTGCTCAGCAACAATGTTAAATAGCTGCATTATGATGTAGCTTTCAGGTATTTTGAGGACTGCTTGAAACACATATAGTTATATATAAATATATATAATATATATGTGTGTGTGTGTGTATACATATATATTTCTCTATATTTAGTATTTCTGTCAGGAAGTGTCATGGATTGTAATGTACGATGAATTGCTAACATTGTAAGACTGTAGAATTGGAAAAAGAATTGTGCAGTAGCTTTCAGATTCAGAGCTGATATATTTTATATGGCATTTCAATGTATTTCACATGACACATAATTAGAATATCTGAAACCTGGTAGCTGTGTATTTTGATAGATACCAAAGATTAAAATACTTGCTATATACTCAAAGATAGAATCTGCCTCTTAAGTAAGAAGATAGAGAGCACTATTGATATATTAACTGTAAAGGAAATAATATGCATATTACTATTTTTATTGCCATGTTGTTTCTTTTTTCATAACATCAATTGCTTATTCTATTTTTTTATAAAAAATAAGTATTAATTGTTCATCTCTAAAGCAATGGAAATGTGCAATTTTGAAGATAAATCCCTATGTGGATGGTATCAGACAGCCTTAGAAGAGACGTCAGAAACTGATTCCATCCATTCCAGAAATATTTTCAAGTGGGGACTTGGAAGAGGAGCAAATCTCTTCCCTGGGCAAGAAAAACACAGCCCATCAATTGATCATACTACGTAAGTAAAAATCTTCAGTTATCTTTCTTGGACAGCCTAGGTTTAGCCTAGGTTTAGCCTAGCCTAGGTTTAGCCACGTACGAATTGTCACTGCGAAAATCTCAGCTCATTTCACAGTATAGAAGCAGTTTACTGATTTATTAATTACATGTAATTAACTGATAATCGGTGGCCTAAATGTGCAGGATCAGTATCAGCTGTACAACAGATAAATAAAAGTATGAGGAACTTACAGAATTTTAATAAAGTACAAATTTCAAAACAGCCTTCTGTAAAAAAATCCCCCAAAGCTCTTATACCGTCTGCCTCCAAGTGTGCAGATCCGCTCCCAGAGGATGAGTAGGATGCATGCACATTCCTGGTACCCTTTGTGACTGTGAGTTTTGCACATTCCTCCTGTGTGGAGGAGTAGTTGCTCTTGATGTATATAATGCTCCTACCTACAGTCTGCTAGGCCATGAGAAGACACTCCTTCTTGTAACCTTAAACCCATGCTGTCAGCCCACATGCGTGCTGCTCACAGCACCCAGTGGGGAGGATGCGCTGTGTGGTCTGTGCAGTGGTTTCAGTGCCAACGAGGTGGCTTCTGGACTGCCTAAACTAGGTTTGACTGCTGCTGTTTCCAATCCAACATCCATTCCCATTATTCTGAATTTTCATGCATGTTTTATACTTCTATTCAAGCTGTTTTTTGTTGCTTGTTTGTTTGTCTGTTTGTTTTAACTATCTTTGTAATTCTGTGTTTCTGCTGATGGTCATCATCACTATTAGCATAATCAGTTTTGGACAAATGCCCTTTCAGGCACTTCCATTCATACTCACAGTGTTCACTCCCTTTCTTCTTAGCTATTGTTATCTGGGCTATTTTGCCAAAGTTGAATTACCCTCACAAAAGGCCTTGTAAATTCTGCTATTAATTAATAATTAACTGAGTACAGATCTGAAACAACTCCGATTAGAATTTAATATAGTTTAGTAGATACTTGACTTTTTTTCTGATAAATTCTGTCACTTCATATCTCTGCCTTACCAAGTCTTTCACAGTATTGCTTTTCTGTCTCARGTATTACTATTTCTAACAGCAACAGCAACAGCAACAACAACAAAAAGTCTTTTCTATAGTCTTTTATGAACAAAAAGCAACTTAGTATAAGCTTCTTCTGTAAGTGGCTGTTAAATACAGACTGATTTGTACAAGTACTTCATTGAAGTATTAACAATCACAGATAATAGAACACTTTACTCTTCAGCCTGGTAAATATCTGTGGTGAAAATAAGTAGCAAGACCATAGCTGTTAGACATTTGATACTAATCAAAAAATGTAGGTACTGATGAGTTTTCTGCAGTTAAATGCAATTTTATATTGTGCTGTAATGCAGAAAATGATTAATTAAAAGTAATGCCCATCATGATTAGAAGCTACAGTGGTTTTTTACCTCAGACCTGGTCACRTGAGAAGGAGATTCACTCCTATTGTTTCTTTTTGCCTTCAGCCTCAGAGGATCTGTAGAGATATGACAGAATGCTAATAAGGTTTGGCAGGTTCAGAGGAGCAACAGAAAAGCCATGAACTAATCTCAGCTCTCTTGTTAGTCAGAAGTCATCAGACCGCATTATCCAATAGAGAAAATCCAACTAAGAGTCACTAATTTTTGTGTTATGATCAAAACATGGAATCTTTCATCTCACATACCATTTGCTTTGTGTGGTGTTTGGTATACTACAACACTTTTAAGTCTTACCAATACATCTTGAGAGAAGCATCTAAGAACAATGACACTGACAGAATAAAGCAAAGAAGGACAAGGGCTCTATTGCTCTATTGTTAAACTATAATGGTTTTTACTTGCTTGCATCTAAGTTTATTAGGCTTTAGTTTTGGGAATCAGCCATTCTGTGGTTCTTTTCTTTTTAGRTAGACTCAAACCAAGGAGACAGTTTCTGTAGTTAAAGGGACCCATGCTGTATATGCTTTTAAAGACATACGTTTACAGAAATCAATGTTACAGTTATTATCTGCTTCCAAAATGTTATTCTGTTGAGCTGGTGTGACAATGAACATAGGATTCAAAATATTCAATCAGATTTATGATTCAGTCAGCATTGTGCATTTTCCTCTCTCACTGTATGTTGTGTATCAGTGTTGCAGTTCAGGTGTGATCATTGCTGGCTTGGATACATTTCCTCCAGCTGTTTTAGTAACCTGGGAGTCCAGTTGCTGTAGTATGGCAGAGCACACAAAATGGTCCCARGGTGCTAAGCCAAGACTTGGGTGGTCACAGCTTGCATTCTGCAATGATTTTACCATGCCACTAACTGACCTAAAGCTCAATATCTACACAAGTAGAAAGACATTTTATAGTCTGTTCTCCAAGTCTGTGTAACCCTTTGCATTCTTTTCCCCATTGTTTAATACTAACAAGTGCATCTACAAAGGTTAAGACTCATTTATGAAATTCTGATTTCTGCTATAAAGCACTGTTCAGAAATTCCTTTGCAAAGCTTAGATGTGCTTTTTGTTTAAAATTTTTATTCTATCAAGAGATTTCAGCTTCTTTTGACCTTTTATCAAAGGAGACATTAACAATACACAGTGCAATAAAATTTTTATACARCTTTTTTTTTTTTTCCTCTCTTGAATTTCTTTTAAGAAATTCCATGAACAAGTCTTGTGTAGTCAGAACCTCTACWTTGTAGGGCTTGGTACAGCTTAAATATGTTTACATAGTATGGAATTATTTTAAGGACTAATGAGTATTAATAAAAAACTATCTTCCAACAAAAATAAACAATAGTAGTTTATAAGAAGAAATTTCTTCCTGAAAGCACAAACTGAAACTCAATGCAATATACCACAGAAAGTGTTAACTATGAGTTCTTTATCATTTCATATGGCTGGGTGCCTGAGGAGTTAGATATATTCCACCATAGTATATATAAGGGTTTTTTTTATAAGTAAAAATAGCTTGGAGACACTGTGAAATTAATGGCAATGCATTTAAAATGAGTCTTTTAGAGATGAAGAGTGAAAATGATACCTGTGAGTACTATAGAAAGTTACATTTAAACATAAGTGGAGGAAAAGCATGAGCTTTATGTAGTGCTTCTATACTCCATAGATCTTCCTCAAAAGTATTATTTCTTTAGACAAGTGTGTGTGTGTGTATCTATCTATCTCACTTGAGAAACTTATTTGCAGTGAAGTGAAAGACATAGGCTCCACTCCAAATAAAGTCTCATAGATTCCATAGCTTTCTCTAAGAAGGTGTTTATAGTACTCTCCAAGAAAATGGAAAATGAAAGGAAAGGGCTATTTTATCTCTGTCAAGAGAGTTTTTTTTTAGTGTATTCTAGTGTGTGTGTATATAGAGAGAGATATATATGAATCACAGGCTCCATCCTGTTTTATGTTTATATGCATTCAGTTCTTCCGATTCTTTTTGAACTGAACTGGTATACACCGATCAGAATAAATACTTGAGTGCATCTAGAGAAATAAGGTAATAAAAGCTTGAATTGCGCTGAGTGGATCACTCTGAATATGCTCCTGCCTGGGGAGCATCACCTACCATAAAGACAATTATAGGGATAAGGAATTGTATTCTTTAATATCATTACTGTCCAAAGCTGGCCTACAAATCTAATATATGTTATTGATAGTATCAGCTGTTGGGCAAGTTGATCTAAAATCAATAGTCCTGAGTCCATATTTCCGGTTTTCAGGTCTCTATATTTCAGGTTTGTTCATTGCCTTCAAGCTACAAAAAGACCTGTGTCTGTTCTCATTTTGTCTTATTTTGGAAACCATCAATTAAGTCAGCYATTTGAGCAAGAGTCCTAAGTAACTACCATATTGAAAATAAAGATTGCACTGAAAGTTAGAGTTGCTGATCTGAAATAGGTGGAATTATCAGCCAGACATGTTTCTTTAACATTATTAGGTGTGTGCATGTGCATCTGTGTTTTCTACATTTACACAACAGTAATTCCTATATGCATAGCTTTTCTTAAAATTTATCACTTATTTCTGATTGTTCCCTGAAGTAGTTTTATTTGCAGATACTGAGGATGATCATTGGATTCTGTGGTCCTGTATATCAGTCCAAAATAACCATATGCAACCATAACAGATTTATTTATTAACTTAATAAATCCTACTTTAAATTCACTTTCTGAGAATACCTTGTATTTCTCCTGGTTACTTCTCATAAATAAAGTGAGGATTATTTGTAGTTGCAGTATGCTGAGAAGAACCCCACCATGATATACTTCTGTTCTTTCCCTTTAGAACTGGAACCATAAATTCATCTATGAATATCAGGTGATTCCACATGCATTTACAAAAACATAAGCCATCTTCAGTGATGAAGTTGGGAGTATTATCAGACTTTGGGTTCATATTATATTTTGGCTTGTCCTCATCTGTTTGTGAATGTCTGCTCTGTTTTTAGTGTCAAGGTTCAGATGAAAGGATRTGGAAAAAAAATCTACAAGCATGTATAGCCATCAGAGTAATTTAGCTAAAACACAGTACAATCTCTGAAACAAAATATTGATAAAGAAAGCACATTGAAGACACTGAAAACTGTGCTTCTTATTTTATTTTTTTTGGTAAATTTCTGCACTGCTTGTTTAACAAAGCTGAAGGAAATATTGCAATACCTATTTTGTAAAAAAAAACAGGTAAAAAATTTGATGGAAATGCAATTCCAAGTTATGCAGAATTGAGAAATAAATGTATTCCTATTACTTGTTTGCCTAGCTTTTATATATATATATATAAAGTATATATATATATATATAATATATATATGTGTGTGTGTGTATATATATATATCTTATATAGAGAGATATGAAGAACTAATTACTTGCAAGTGAAAGCTAATAATCAAAAATTACTTGTAGGATGATATCAGATAATTGGTCCATTCATTTTAAGTAATTGTAACTCAATTAAAATTGTTTTTACAGAGAAAAATAGAACTTAATGRATTTTTAA